AAAAAAAAAACATGCTGAGATCCAAGACCAGAAAGAATGATGCCAGAGTTTGGAATTATAATCAGGAAATGAACTTGTACTCAAGTTTAAGCACAGACGGAGCCAAAGATCAACAATTTTGAGCTTGATAAGAGTTTGAGCCCAGCAGATTCTCAACAATATGAATTATGAAATGAGCTCAAGTTCAAATATCCAAATGCTTGATTTGTTAAGAGCCCTACCTCCAACCCCCCTTTGTCTCTGCCAATGGTTGAACTAATTCTTTAATGTTCGTACTTAAACCACCTGGTATCTTTCAAGTCAATTTTGTGTTGTCCAAAAGTTGACATTTACCCCCCGTTTATAAGTGTGTTGCATCTTCCACATGATTAAACCTGTTTTAGCGTCATTGACAGCACCATCAAGGGTCCTTTATGTCAATTTTGAGTTTCCAATAAGTTTATTTTTAACTGAAAATTGGCAAAATTTGATAGAAATGTATAGTAAAATTCATCACAACTTAATTGTAGCTACTCTGGTAACATGGAAGTTGTTGTATATGTTTTCATGACAGAACTCAGGCTTTAAATTAGTGCCTGTACCCACATTATCTAGGGTCTTCTAAGCCAATTATGTTGATATTTTTAACTTTCATAAGGTGTATACCAGTTCGTCAGAACAGCTTGTATAATGCAGCTATTCACTCGTTATATTATTGAACTTGTGCTTTAGTGCAAATGCTTCCGGTATAGCTGTGAGTTTTTCCTTTACCTAAAGATCTCTGTGCATTAGTTTCAGGATCCCAGCAAAATTCGAAAATGATATACTGTGAAACCAAGTTCAAACTAATGAACTGTACAAAAAGAGGGCATATCAAAGGCAAACAAGGAGCAGGCCCAAAAATCTAGTATTGCACATTTGAGTAGGGAATTTTAATTGTTGCCCTGGAGAGAGAGGATTTAAGGCCTACACTCTTGGCACTCGATGTACTTTCTGCAGACTCTAGTGCCCGGGACGCTTGGAGGGCCATCTCAGCATGTAGTTGGAGACATGACATAGCCATCTAAACCATGATTAAAAAAATCAAGATGCAGATGTCAGAATATGATATTGCCGACAACCTCAGAGAAAGCAAAGGCATTCTCGTTAATCAGAAGTTAGAAAATGAGGCTACTAAACAAACACCCTTGCAAAACCATATTGCCTCTCACCAATAAGAAAATAAATTATTGTTAATATTGGTTGAAATTGGGATCATATATTCCTGAAAACAGAAATTGGACTCTAAGGCAAAAACTTGTACAAATATTGACATTTCAGCTATTATCAAATGGAATGGTATGTATGGTTCAGAAAATTTTATCCACAGAGTTGGTTCCTAAATCCAACAAGGTAACACAAATGAAAAAGGCATTTAAGTGCATGTTGAAGACTTAGTCGAACAGACTGATGAAGTGGAAAAGAAAATGATAGACCAGGGTAAA